GTTGTTTTTTCTAATTCCATCATTGTTCCCTCTCTTCCACTATCATACCATTCACTGCTTTTGTCAAAACTTCAATAAAGACAATCGCAGTCACTATCCCAAACCATCTTCCTTTGCAGTTGATTACTACACTATCTGCATGGCAACCTTCATCATATTCATGGCATCTCACTTAGGTGCTTATATTCTTACTAGCTTGCATTTGCTGACACTAACTGAGCTGAGAACATTGATGACACAACATCTACAAGTGCTTATGTCCATGTTTGGTTCAACTAAAGAACTTAGAGCATGTTTGACAAAACTTAAAATCCAATTAAAATTGAAAATATAGCCGTTATTGGGTCTCACTCGTCTAATAAAAGTCAACAATAACGGTTAATTTTTCAATTTTAAATCGATTTTAATCTCTACCGAACATGCCCTTAATTAAAATTTAAGTCAAAGTGAAGAATGAATTTTAATCACATTTTTTATAGAACTCATAATTTTTTTAACTACACATTCCATTAATTTTTATTTTCTAAAAATACGATTTTTTACCTAAACTAAATATGGGCTATGTAATTTTTCAAAGTTCCAAGAATCAATGATTTCTTACTCGAGTATCACAAAATTACCTCAACCATCTTTGAATTGCTCTTGCTCACATAACTATGCCCCTGTTCAATTTTGTTAAGAATAATATTTTTAGTAAATTTTGATAAAATTTGTGAGTCCTATAAAATGTGAGGTTAAAATTAATTATTAAATTTGACTTCAATTTTTATTAATTTTTTCAACTAAACCAAATGTAGGCTACATGAGATAACAAATATGCAATTTTTTTTCTTTATCGACTTTAACAAACCTACCAAATATGCTATTTTGTTCTTTATGAATATGTGAGGCGTACCAAATATGTCATTTTTTGTTCTTTATGGGCATATATGGTCTATCAACGTTGATTTTGTTTCTTCAAAGACAATCGGAGGGGACCTATTTAAATTTACTTTTCTTTTCTTTTCTGCGTGTGAGATTTGATGTTCGTTTTTAGGTAAATTAACACATTAGACGTTTATATAATTCTTGGTCTTGTCGCATATTTAGGCTTTCGCAGACGATAAAGTTTTTTAATGAAAATCATCGATCACAATAATTTCTCGTATTTCTTGTTCTTTCTTCTACATAATTCAGAACATAAGACCACTAACAAAGTTCTTGGATATCGAAGGCAATCTTACTTTATAATTGCCAATCCTCGAATATTTAAAATCATATATAACATAGCACAGCCAAATCATCACATTTGAGCATTATTCAAGATTCTTTGTGCTTGTAATATAAAAAAGTAGGAAATCATCCATTTGTTGCAGTACATGACATGATCCTATGATTTTCAAGAAATTTAATGAACTTTTCAATGTAATGATCGTGTAATTTTCTCTCTCCAAATATTTCACTCATTTCTTTAGCCTTGCCTCGAATTTTTTTCCCTCATTTTCAACCATGACCAACTTTATCGAGTTGGACACCGAATTTCTTGTATATGATCCATCTTCGTCGTTTTTCGGGATTTCTATCCCGACCTGCTTATCAGCAATAACTCTAGCATTCAAACCTTGGTCTACCACAAATGGTAAGGCAATTAAGGGGTGACCAAAAGTGAGTCCCTCTATAATAAAGCATGTTTGGGAGGGATTAAATTTTTTTACAGTAAATCAATTCTCATTTTCAACCACACATTCTTCAATAAAATAATATTTTCCATCACATCAATAATTTTTTCTTCTTTTTCAACCACACATTTCCCATCATATCACTATTNCCTAAAATATTTGTGTAGTTTTAGGCCCTGTTTGGGAGGGAATTAGATTTTTCTACAGTAAATCAATTCTCATTTTCAACCACACATTCTTCAATAAAATAATATTTTCCATCACATCAATAATTTTTTTTTTCTTTTTCAACCACACATTTCCCATCATATCACTATTCAAAATCAATTATTCCCCCAAAAATCTCTCCCAAGCAAGCTCTAGAACTCCAACCACAATGAGTCAAGAATGAGCCTACTGAGTCATGACTTTAGTATCTTTAACTGAGGCGCCCAACTCTCCCACACCATGCACCGGCCTTCAATTCTTTCCTCAAAGCCCTCTGGTAAATCTACTGAGTTAGACTTACCTGCCTGAGATGGCTTCCTCAGTGCCCAAAAGAAGGGTACGCCAGATAATTCCAATCCGTGAGCTAACTCATTGAGTTGATCTTGACTC